TGGAGCCTACCATCATAGAATTAGTGAAGCCAAATGGACTTCTAGGGTTTACTGGACTTGTGAGCAGGGGTTTCCGCGCGGTATTCTGAAAGCTGAATCAAATGTTTTTTCGGAAAAAAAATTGTCATGCTGGCAAGAAAAATTGGTGTTCAATGCTTCTAAAATGTGCTGCTGCTCCATACCTCTTTTTCTAGTAACACAAGAAGGGGGAAGAGGGGTCCAGCTTAAGCCTGGTGATGTCAGTTTTGTTTTTTGATGTGTTATATTTGTTAGGGGGCCATAATCTGTCCTTCTTCCTACCTGCACCTTTACACGCTCTCTCTTTCTTTCTCTCTCTCTCTTTCTCTCTCCTCCTTTCTCCTTCTCTTCCTTCCTTCCTCCATACCTTCGATTGGTGTAGAAGGTTAAATGTTGCCCCAGTGCTGAATATTTCAAGTCCATTGCTACTCCCCCCCCCCCACATTAAATGTATGTAATTTTAAAAACACAATTGAAAAGTGCATTCACAAGGAAAAGTTTCCTGTTATTGCTGACAAATGTTTATCCTGTAAAGCAGTGCATTGCTGGGTTTAAAAGAACAACAAATGTTTAGCGTTTTAAAATTGTTGACAAAGTCTGGTCTGGTCGTCCTGTTGACATTGCTCCTTCATGGCAATGCCAAACCCCATACAGTCAACTCAGGAGAAAATTCACCATTTGGGGTGGAAACTTCTGGAACACCCACCTCACAGCCCTGAGTTAGCCTTACGCGATTTCCACTTTAGCAGGAATTTTGCAAATGACGCAGTTAAATGTGAAGTGAAAATGTGGTTTAGAAAACCACTTAGTTCTGTGCAGCTGGTTTGGGAGGGCTGATAAAATAATGAGAAAAATGCATCAGTGTTGGTGAAAATTGCGTTGAAAAATAAAGGGACAATGTATGTGTTTAAAATAAAAAGTTTTCAAGCTGTTCCAGTTATCATTTTGTTTGTTCGTTGTAAACAACCATTTGTTGACTTTCCTGGTAGTATAGGTTAACCTAGACAACAAATCTCTGAAGTGGATGTGTTGACTGAAAGGTACAAGTGTTGCAGCCCTTCTGTAAACAGGCATTTATGTTCTAAGATAATCATAGAAGGATAATTTCTTCCCCGTTAATTTCTTCCCCGGCTCATTTGTTTTTTGTTTTTTTCCTACTTCAGGGCTGCGCCAAGAAGAAGATGATGGTTGGACAACAGTTCGCTACTAACAGTTCTAAACGCTGTTTTTGCTGCATTATACATTTTTAAATTTTTTTTTTAAATGGGAGTGGTCACTCTTTGTATTTAATATGTTTTATGCTGACAGAATATTCTGGTAATATAGCAGAAGTATTCAGCTGTGGCAGTTATTTGAAAATGTTTCTTGTTTGCTTCATTTGTCTACTTACACATTGTGACACAAACGTCCACTGTTAGTACCTTTATTCTGGATGTATTTAGATGTTTAATTGTGGACGAAGGTTTGATTAATTGTCTCTTATACTGTTGTTTGAAGCACATTTCTTTCATTCTATCTGTTTGTGATGTGCAGGATTTCCACATTGTTTGTTTGAACCTTTCTAAGTATATCTCCATATAACAGGTCTGTGGACTGAATTACTGCTTGCCAAATGAAATAACTGGTTTTATGTACATGTAATGCTTTCATTATTTTTTCCAGAATACATTTATTGGTAACATACATGGCTTTCTTCTGGTGTAAGTTTTTAATTAGATCATTTTATTTTCAAGTTTATTTGTGTTGTTCGATTACCTCAACTCATTCTTATAACCTAGGCTGTTTATATATATATAGGTCATGTTTATCAACTGCCTTTATATAGTGTGCAACCTTTCATTTGTAGTTACAAAAGTACTCGCTTACTACAATAACAGAAGCATCTTAGGGCATCTTGAATCCTGTGGCATTTTCTAGTTTTTTCTTTTGCTTTTTTTTATTACTAATTTGAATAACCATTTCTTTGATTAAGAGTAGCATTCTTCATGTCATTGGAACATCAGATAAATCAGCGTGCACAAGACCTGTGTTTTTATAAACCAGCCAGCTCCCATTAAGTAATATTGGCAGTCTACTTTACCTCCTAGGATATTTCTGGGTACCAATTGTTAGAATTGCCCTAGAACAAGTCTTTAGCAAGATGCAAAAGATTCTCACCAGTAAGTGGCTTGCAGTGAGAACAAGTGTTAAAGAAGAGCCTGTGTTGTTAAATGAGTGTGAAACATGGCCAAGAAGCAGAGAAGCTAAAAAAAAAACATTGATTAGCAGCACAGATGTGGTTTCTGAGAAGAATGAAAAAAATATCAGAGGGATTTAAAAAAAAAATGCAGTCCTCATCGAGTCAGATAAAAAATATTAATTTATAAAAAATTGACAAAGAGCCAATTTTTTTTTCTTCACGTTATGAGAAGAGATAGACTCGAAAACTTAGTAACTACTGGCAAGATTGATTTAAAGAGCAGGAGGAAGGCAAAGAGGTAAATATTTGGATGGGGCGAGACAAATATTGAACTGATCTGTGAACGTGTGAGAGGGCATGGCAAATGATTATTTTAGGCTGGGTTGATCTTGTGGGGATGAGGTAAATTATATTTAAAAAAAAAAAGTACTGTGAGGATTTCTCACCAGGTTGCGACAAAATACCAGCGCAACTAATTCAAGCAGGAGTAGAGGCCAGCATCCAAATCTACCATGCACCTTGCACAAAGATCTGGAGCATTGGCATTTAGCCTAAAACGTGAAAAAGAACACTATATCCCTCTCCTAAAGAAAGGAAATCTGAAACTATGCTCCAACTACCGTACCATCACATTAATAAGTTATGCTAGCAAAATCCTCTTACGAATTATGAAAAGGATTTAAATGAAATTACAATGTGTGCTACATGAAGCAAAAGCTGGTTTCAGACAAGGTAGAGGAACTAGGGATCACATCTGTAATATTAGAATAATGTTTGAAAAATGTAGAGAATACAACATAGATCATGTTTGTTTCATTTTATTGTGTCCAACATCAGAAACTGGACTATTATGAGAAGTATGGGGCATCCATCGCATTTAGTGCATTTAATTGAAAATCTTTATCATGAACAACAAGCAGCCGTCAGAGCAGCTGGTGAAACATCGGATTGGTTCAAGGTGCAAAAGGGAGTGAGGCAGGCGTGCATTCTTTCACCATACCTATTCAATATATACGCAGAAAACATAATGAGAAATGTCAAAAATGGTCAGACTTTTGACAGTTATGATCCACTTAAAATTGGTGGCAACCCTATTCCGGAACTTTGCTATGCAGATGACACAGTCCACCCTTCGAACAGCGTAAAATGAATAGACAATTTTAAATTGTCTGTCCAAAAGCACAGTGAAGATCAAAATCTGTTATCGAATTTTAAGAAAATAAAAATAATGTCCACAGATAAAACTGGCTGCCACCAAAAAAATCATGAAGAAATTGGAAATGTCACAAACTTCGAATATCTAGGCTCAATAATAAACAGCAATGGAGACTGTTCCGACAGAAATTAAAAAGAGGGATGGCCAAAGCAATGCAAAGATTAAAACCTTACAAGTCTCTGGTTAAGCACCAGCAAGGAGATCAAAATAAGACTGTTGCGAGCATGCATCTTCCCTGTAGCAACATATGGATGGAATTCGTGGACTATCTCCCAATCCTTAAAAAAGAAAATAGTGGCTTTTGAGCTGAAATGCTATAGAAAGATTCTCAGAATATCTTGGACAAAGAAAAAAAATACAGACATCTTGAAAGATCTGAACATCAAGGAAGACTGGCTAATAAACAGCATCCTGTATGGGAAGCTGAAATATATTGGTCATATCAAGTGCCATGAGACGGATTAGGAAAAATTATAGCAGAAGGCATGGTACCAGGAAGGAGGGGCAGGGGCCGACTGACAGGAAGATAGGCACATAATGTGACTCCTTGAGTACATGAGGTGGGAGAGCTGGCGAGAGACCAAGTTTCTTTCAGGCAGACCGTGATGAGAGTGACGTTCTGCAAAGGACCTGCTACATGATGAGGATTACAACCCAAGACCTTCCTTTTTAAGTGCCCTCTTCATTCCTCTGTAGATCTAACAATGATAACAGTCAGCATTCCTCTGTAGATTTAGCTTCTTGTTACTTCTTAGTACATTATCAAAATTGGTGGCATATATGCTGGCTTTCTGTCATTATTCTAGTGTTATCTTTTCATGTCTGACTGCAAGTTGCCATTATATTGTAAGTAGAATTGTCTTTGCTGCCTCAGCTCCGCAGGTCTTAAATAATTTCTTTATTGTATATATTGTAGCTCTTACAAAACTGCATGATTTGTGTGTTGAAAGTTTATCATTGATATGAGTTCAAATTTATGTCTCTAATTGGGGGGGGGGGGGGGGGGGGGGGGGAATAATATGTGTAGTGTAATCTCTTTTAGATGTCCATGTGTTTTTTTTTTAACCGTTGTTGATTCTCCATCTTCAACCTAACACCTCACCCAAAAATGATACAGCAGGATTTATGGCCTAATCTCTTTACTATGTCTGTGCTTATTTTTATGCTATCTTCTACTTGTATTAATTGCAAACTTTTTTTTTATGAGCAACATCCACTTATAATTCTATCCATTTTGATTTGTTTTTAAAATTGACAAAATAGTGTCATAAATGAACTGTTGTATAGTTTAAAGGTGTACCCAAACTGCTGATGGTACACTAGTAAAAAGTTAAAGGCAACTGGTTTTTTTTCTTCTTGTGTAATGGAAATAAAATAACAACAACACATTTGAATTGGTTTTCTTTTTGTACATAGTTTTGTTCAGGAAAATTAACATTTACAACCCCCTACTGAGAGATATTTACATTACAGAAAAAAACTTTCAAGCTGATGAAAGAAATAAGACATTTTAAAGCAAGTAGGGACAGAAACAAATAGCCTTGCATACAGGAACTACACAAAAGAAATCTGAAGAGCTATCGGAGGAGATAAAAAAAAAACATTTTATTATAAATACCTGTAATTGAACAACTCCATAAAAACTGCAACACATTAACGGAAACTAATGGCATATTAGAAAGATGGAAAGAATACTGTAGAGAAATGTATGAGGATGTTACAAGTAATTCAAAAACAACTTGTGAAAGTTATGAAAAAGAACCAGCAACTTTACTATATGAGGTACGATCAGCAGTATACAGCCTAAAGAAAGGAAAGTCACCAGGTTGCGACGAAATACCAGCGGAACAAATTCAAGCATGGGGAGAGGCCAGCGTCCTAATCCACCATGTACTGTGCTCGAAGATCTGGAACAGTGGCATTTGGCCTAAAGCGTGACAAAGAACAGTCTATATTCCTCTCCCAAAGAAAGGAAATCTGAAACTATGCTTCAACTACCATACCATCACATTAAGTCATGCTAGCAAAATCCTCTTACCAATTATCATGAATAGGATGGAAAGGAAATTACAATATGAGCTAGATGAAGCACAAGCGGGATTCAGACAGGGTAGAGGAACTAAGGATGCCATATTTAATATACGAATAATTTCTGAAAAATGCAGAGAATACAACGTAGATCTTCATGCTTGTTTTATTAATTATAGCAAGATATTTCATTGTGTCCAACACCACAAACTGTTGACTATTGTAAAAAGTATGGGGTTTCCAGCGCATTTAGTGCATTTAACTGAAAACTTGATCATGAACAACAAGCAGCCATCAGAGCAGCTGGTAAAACATCTGATTGGTTCGAGGTGCAAAAGGGGGTGAGGCATTTGTCAGTGCATTCTCTCAACATACCTATTTAATATATACGCAGACACTATAATGAGAAATGTTAAAAATGACCAGACTTTTGACAGTTATGATCCGCTCAAAATTGGTAGCAACTCTATTCTGAACTTTGCTACGCTGATGACACAGTCCTCCTTTCGAACAGCGTAAAGGGCATAGAGAATTTAATATTGGCTGTCCAAAAGCACAGTGAAGATCAAAATCTGTTCTTAAATTTAAAGAAAACGAAAATAACATCCACAGATAAAACTGGCTGTCACCCAAAAATAACAATAAATGATGAAGAAATTGAAAATGTCACAAACTTTGAATATCTAGGCTCTATAATAAACAGCAATGGAGACTGACAGAAATTAAAAGGAAGATGGCCAAAGCAATGCAAAGATTGAACAGGCTAAGCATCAGCAAGGAGATCAAA